TATAATATATATAAAAAATTTAAAACATAAAAAATATTATAAAATTTGAAGGGTTAAAACTAAAAATATTAAAGAGTTAAAACTAAAAAATAAAATAAATTGGATTTTATATATTTTATTTATAGAAAGTGGAGGAAAAAGTGTAGGAGGGAGGTAGGATGGGAATAGAATAACCCAAAAAGAAAGAGTCAAAGGGAAGAACAAGTGGGGCGTATGGCACATATGATTGGTATTTAAAAAGACTTATTAATTATTAAATGTATTGACAAAAATACCCGAGTTAACGAAGATGAAATGGACGGCATTAGCAGTAGGGACCCAAAGTGAAACAAAACACAAACCACAAGGACCTCAGTGTACTTATTTTAAAATAGAGACCATATCCAGGTTTTGAACTACCCACAGTACCATCGGTGTAATACTTCTTTACCATTTTGCTACTGAACTTGCCATTCATTTCCCATTATAGCCAATGAAAAAAAAGAAAGACAATATTCAACAAAACAGAAGAAAATTGAAGATTTTTAAACAATGTTTGACAACTAATTTACTTGCTTAATTTCAAAAGAAACACTTGCAAGTAAGGTCAAAGATTTGATATGATGGGATGCTTAATTGGTAAGACTCGGGGTATGCTGCCACCGTATTGTTCCTTCGTGGTAAGGTAAAAAAAATTTGGTCCGTGAAAGGTGCAACCGTGTTATTCTAGAAGGTGCCACCGTATCAAAAAATTCTTCGGTCCGTCCCTGCTCCTAACTTCAGGTCCCCTTGGGATTTAGTCAAGGAAACTGACTTGAACACCGTAGTTATCCAGAAATTTACTTTAGAACACCAGAAAATGATGCAGTAAAGAACATGAATAGATCAAAGATGCAGAGTGGACCAAACAAATGCTTTTTTGAATCAAAAGCAATTCCTCTTTTTCTCTTATTCCCAGTCCTTGTGAAACAAGCTATGGATTGAAGCATTGGACATTTGATAACAAAGACACTCGGTTCATGTGATGAAGCATTAATCAGAATGAAAAACACAACATACATTTTATGAATAAGTTTCAACTCATCTTCATAATAACTATCACAGAAAGATGAAAACCTTTGAATTACTTGCAGTTAACTGAATATGCATTCCAACCTTGTACTCGATACTCCCGCGCTGCGTCAGCAGGATTAGTGGCCTTAATGATTCCACGTCCCACAATGATGATATCGCTACCTCTATCAGAAATTACCTATAACAAATTATGCATCTGTCACATCATCAATCCAATCCTAGAACCATTTCAACATAACACAAGAAAATTTAACTTCCTTCTAAGGATTCTTAATTCCTTCATTCCATTAATATTACAGTAATTACCTTTTTTAGAATGTTTCCATGTTAAAATCACAAAAACCAAACCAAACCAAACCAAACCAAACAAACCCAGAATATCTCACTCGAAAGTAGGGTGTGGGAGGGAAGGGTAAGATGTATGCAGACATTACCTCAACCCTTAGGGATCGAGACTCGAGAGGTTGTTTCCATGAAGACCCCCTCCCTCTTGGGACAGAGCTAGGGTACATTCCCCCCACCCCTCCCCCCTCCACCCTACCTTCAGGTGGGATATTCTAGTCTGGTTTGGTTTTATTGACTTGGGTACCTAAGATTCGTTAGTATGTTTTTATTGAAGGGCACTTCGGGTTGTTCTATAAATAGCTACAACAATTCCTTAGTGCGTTATGGGACAAAAGACGGTACTTTTTACTTATTTCAAATTTGCCGGATATCTTTTTAGTAAATGGAATGGGCACAACTGCTGTTGCACTATAAACAAAACTACATTGTTTCATGCTTTTTTATATAGGATGTACTATGTAGCAATGTAAGACCATGGTGGGTGTAACTTAGGATTATGATCATTGTGTCATAGCCTTTTATGACCTTTTCAAAACTTTAGCAAAAACATCATTGCGTATGTGTGTATCATATATGTGCACGGCATATGTGTATATTTGCTTGTGTCCTTGTGTATGCATATGGCATAGGTGTGCATATGGAGTGTATGTGGGTTTATTGTAGGTATAGTTGCAACGTATATGTGTATGCATATGTATATGACCTTGGTTTAAAAGGTTTTAGCAGTCCCTCTGTGGAAGGGGTTATTTGCATTGACCCCATAGACCAGTTGGACTAAAGAAGCCAAACACCACAATTATTCAAAAAAGAAGATAAGATTGAACAAAATGCCTCAAAATTCAACCAAGTTCATTTTAGTTTCTATTTAGTGTAACGAATATTTTTTTTTCTAAAACAATGTAATGAAGTTTCGAAATTTTCTATGTGGTACCCATTTTGACCGGTAGCCCATTGATCTTGTAACATTTGATGTTATGGATGCCAAATTGTCAACTTAATCAATGGTGGATCAGCAAGGCATCCACATCTTCAAATGATTGACACCCCGACATCCACGTCATCAAACGATACAAGATGAGCAGGTTGCATGTCAAGATGGGTATGAAATAGAAGATCTTGAAACTTTGTCACATTGATTGAGAAAAAAGGAAATCTTCATTACACAAAAAACAAACTTCATTGCATTTTGCCCAAAAGAATTGAACTACCTAAAGTGAAAAGTTTTCCAACAAGGAACAGAACTTACAGAATTTGGGGTATTATATTGCTGGCCTAGATCATCGCCACCTTTAACCAACTGAACTCCGGGGGTTGCGTGAATAAAGGCTGGATTAGAAGGTCCCCCAGGCCATGATGCTGGATTAACAGATATAAACCCAATGACGAAATCCGAATGATCTTCTGCAATTTTCACTGCCGCAGCTGTGTAATCTCCCTTGGCAAGGTTACCAACGGAACTCATTTCTGCAAGCAGCAGCAATCCCCTTCCACGAGGTAAACCCTGTGCCATTAAAACCATACAAATTAGCCAACCACCCTTTAGGCTTAAATATGTGAACCTAGGCTATGTTTGGAAAACTAGCTTATATGCTAGCTGTTGGCCGATAAGCTAACTCAAAGTAGTGCTTCAATAAGCTCCAGAGGCTTTTTTTTCCAAATATGCCCTTTATATTTTTCTAATTAATTTTCAACATTTCCTTTACACATGACTAGTTTATCAGCTTACCAACAAGCAGCTGGCTTTTCAGTTGTCAGCTAACAACTAGCTTTTCAGGGAACAGCTAGCATATACTAGATTATAAAAACCAAACAGGGCTTTTTCAGTAAGTTGAAAAAGTAAGTTAGCTTATGATTGCCAAACATGGCCCTAAACGAAGAATACTGGTATGCAAACCTTCAGTTTCAAGCCATCGACAATTCCAGGACCAGAAATAATGTGGCAATTGACTATATCTGCCCACTCCAATATACGGAAGATACCTCTGCAATAAAATCATGGTGAGAACAAATAAAAAAGGGAAGGCAAACCATGCAGACATAAAAGGCTCAAGTCATTATGGGGTTTCCATAAACAAATTCATTTTGTAATGGTGCAAGAAGAAACAAAGATGTGATAGTGGATCCCATTTACTTTAAACAGGTAGAAATTAGTCATCACACAAGTACAAAAAGATGTTATTTTGTATCGTAGCTTCAATAAACGTCTATTTTGGAGCACAAAATCTCAGCAAATGGGAATCTATCCTTCAAACTGAAGGACTATTATTCTATTATTCTGTTAGTTTGGGAATGCATATACTCACCCTTCATACTGCATTGTTACAGTGTTGCCAATGTCAGCAAATTTCCGATCTTCAAAAATGAGGAAATTGTGTTTCTCTGCAATCTTGAGAAGATGCAAAGAAATATCAGCAGAAGTATGGCAATAAAAAATATATCTTATTAATTAAGTTGACAATCTGATTCTAGAAATCAATATCAGCAGAAGTATGGCAATAAAAAATATATCTTATTAATTAAGTTGACAATCTGATTCTAGAAATCATGTTTTTACAGATGCATGACGACTTTGAGATATCATAACTGAGGTACCAAAATGAGGGTTTCGAAAGTACGTTGCATTTTCATGCATTTTACCCTTTAGAAGACCATCATCGTTGCCTTCTAAAATGAAGGCATATATTACCAAATGACCTTCCTCACTGGATGAGACTTGCAACTCCATTATTATCAAAAATTAACCAATTCGAAAACAAATTTAGCATTCCATCTTACACAGAAAACTACAGGATCATTTACATGCAAATACAAGTCTTCAAAATCAAACCTCATAAAATTTTAAGAGTTTAGAGATAATACCGAACGAAGCTTGGATCCAAAATCAGGGGTGAAATCCGGCAGTATGTCCACATGAGTTTTTAACATGCAGATCTCTGGTCCAATCTGGATAAATCAACAAGACATAATCACACTTGAACCACAAAATCAAGAATGCTAAATCAAATCAAATACCACAGGAAGATATAAAACAGTATTCATTATGAATAAAACCGAAAACAAAACAAGGAGCAGTAATGTGATTTGTAGGACTATTTGACCATCTCCAATGGGATGCTATATATATCACACCAAATTTCTCCATTTCTTACACCAAATTTGGTTTAACGAATAGAAACATACCAATTTGGTGTGTGTGACACTATTCATTTATTCACAATTACAAATTTGGTCCCTCTAACATGGAGACAGCAGGCTGTCTTTATCCTTAACATGCTTACCTACTTGTTATAAATACTATGATTTTTATGATTATTAAATAATCGTTAAAATTCTTGAATTCCCAGAAAAACATTTACCAAAGAATCACATGATGACATAAAGAAATTGGGATACCTTGTCTGCAATTGCCAACAACTCAGAAGCAGTTGTAACATCAGCAGATAAACACAAATTGCTTTCTTTCTTCACCATGATTTCAAACAATCTCTTCCCAGTTGGATTCTTTGTCATTTTAGCCCGTTCACCGTACGGGATCCTGACCTTAACGGAAGCATCTTTAGCAGCCACCGGAGACGGAGAGGCAGTCACCGGAGCAACCTTCTTGTTCTCCTCCAAAAACTTAAACACCATAGCCTCCGTCTCCTCAGACACCTTACCTTTGGCCTTCAAAACCCTAACCATGTCTGTAAGCTTCACAATCGAGTGAAGCGTAATCCCATTCGCCGCAAGATTATCCCTTCCACCTTGCTCTCTGTCAATCACCACCACGACATCTTTAACCCTAAGTCCGGCGGAACGCAATGGCGCCGCCGTCTCAAGAACCGATGTCCCACTTGTAACCAAATCCTCGATAATCAAACAAATCTGGTTGGGTTCAAAAGCACCCTCGATCGACTTGGAAGTACCATAGTCCTTGATTTCTTTTCGGCGCATGAGCATGGGGGTGTTGAAAGAGGTTGATATAGCAGTGGCAATGGGGAGTGCGGTGTAAGGGACGCCGCAGATGACGTCGTGGACGGCGGAAGGAGGGAGGATAGAGATCATGGTTTCGGCAATGAGAAGGAGGAGTTTAGGGTAAGAGACGATGAGGCGGAGGTCGATGTATATGGGTGAAGATATGCCGGATTTCAACTTGAAGTTTCCAAATTTCACAGCGGATATCTCATGCAGTTGAAGGATCAGTGACTCCATTTTTGACGATGATGACATGATTTCTGGAAATGTGCGTTTGCTTTGGAGCTCTGTAGGCGTTACGGCGTTAATGGAGGTCCATGTTCTTTCGTTGCTTTATATAGGGAAAAGAGCGGTCTCTCTAAACTCTATTTTATTATGGGGGAGGCTAATGGCACCCCTAGTTAGGTTTTAAATAATTAGTTTTATGAGTTTTTGTGTTTTTTTTAGCTTTTTGTTATTATTAGTTTTTATTTTATTATTATTTAAAGGAAATTATTAATTAATATATAATATTATTTATTTTATTTTTTGTTTTTTATTTATTTATATTATATTTTAATTAATATAAATTATTAATAAATATATATTATTTATTTTATTTTCTGTTTTTTATTTGTTTATATTATACAAGGGGCTTCACACACCTTTTCCTGATTAAACCACATATTAATCGAGTCATGAGGTTTTCAAATCCAACAATAATCTGTAAACATAATGATATCAGTC